TAGGCATCCCTGACAGGGCCCAGAACAGCTCCCAGGGGACGCCTGCGACAAAGTCTCTTCTGCCTGAATTATCCCAGTAATTAAACAAAAACTAGAGAACTGTATTCCATTTTTCTGTTTCTGTTTTCCTACGCTCTCTTCATGAATGACAACCAGTCTGCTCTGCATTCTTGTTTTTAATTTCCCATTTGGGGGTCGCCATCCCCATCTCCAGGCTGGCTCCATATAAAGGCCTCATCTCCTCATCCTACACCCCATGGGCTTCAGGGTCTGGGAATTGGGTCTGGGGGCAGTTACTGACTTGCTACCCCCCAACCCCCGCCCTTCTCTTGGGGTTAGTCTGGGGGGGGTAGTCCTGAGGGCTGGGCTGGGAGAGAACAGACGGCCTAGACCACAGAGCTGGACCCTTCCGGGAGGACACCAGGAGAGAGCGCATCCGACTTTTCCCATTTCGGATGAGGATTTTTTTGGTTGATTTCTTTTTAATATATATCATTTCCTTCCAAGCCGAGAGCGCTGTGTGTACGCAACCACGTGCTGCTTATGCCCACCGATTTGGGCGGTGCCAGCCCCTTCATTCCTAAATCAAATTCTTCCCGGGTTTCACACCCTTCTTGATCTTCCGCACACCTGCTCTCAGATTTCTCCCAGGCGCCGCCCGCATTTCTGTTCTCTCATCTTGCACGCGGGGGCCGCTGCCGCGAGCATCGCCCGGGCCCAGGCCTTCACCAAGACCTTGACCTCGCTGTCCGAGGCCCCGAGTCCCGTGACCGCTGGCCGGGCGGGTGCCTCCCCCGGGGCGCGGGAGGCACCCCAGGGCGGAGCTCGCGGCTCCTCGTCTTCTGACTCCTCATCTTGCCGTCTCATCCGGAGGCATCTCCCCTTCTCCATATCGCAGGCCAACACTCCCCCCCGCAGCAAAGGCTGCTTCCCGGACAAAATCCCGGTCGACCCGTTGATCCCAAGGCCCGGACCCGAAGCATCCAGGTGTGACCCGAGAGCCCGCTCTGTGGGAACACGAGCCCAGCAAGCATCCTGCAGGCTTTCTGTTGTCGTTGAGTCCATTTGAAAGGCAAAAACGGCCTGAAAGCCATGTATGCTTTCAGTTAACTACATCGAGACGTGAGGCTTTTTTTTGGTAAAACCCAGCTCGAGGCCTCGTTCCAGGGAAGCCCGGGATTCTCCTCCATCTTCGGGTCGCAGCGACCCCCGTGGCTCCGGCCTCCCACAGGGACCCGCGGGGAAGAAACACGGGAGACCGACTCCCCGCACTTCGCTTGACTAATAATGTTTGTCGACCGATGCCGAAACGCGGATACCTCGGTGGACTCCGCGCGGACCCCTCGGTGGACTCCGCGCGGACCCGGGCCCCCGCCCTGATCCTGCGCCGGCCGCGCGGCTGGGACTCTGGAAGGCAAAGACTCTGGGACTCTGGGGGCGGGGCCTCGGGGGCGGGGCCGCGGGGCGAGGCGGGGCCTCGGGGGGCGGAGTCTCCGGGGGGCGGAGT